GGGGGTCGTTTTCTGGGGGGTGGGGGGTAGGGAGGGTGGTGGTACAATGGACTGGAAAGGGACCTAAGAGGACTTCCTGTGGTGATGAAAATGTACCGTTATCTGTTTTGGGTGTTGGCTCTATAAGAACATAGAAAATGAGAAATATATAGTATCCACCTGAAAATACTGAATGCCCTATAAAAGATAATGCGTGGTAAGTGCCAAAAACATAGTAAGCACTTAATATATGTTAATCCCCTTCCCTTCCTCTTCCATTTATAAATAGCAAATGGGGTGTAATACTGCAGTACTTAAAGTCTTTTCCTGAAATGATTGCCCCAGTCATCAAAGAAGGAGGAGAAGTTGGGGGGGGGAAGGGAGGGGGAAAAAGAAAAAAGAAGAAAACTAACAAATCAACATTAGAATTTACCCTGAGGAAAGAAGCATGGCTATACACAAGGATTTATCTATAAGGATACCCATGGCATTATTCACAATAGTAAATACCTGGAAAATTGAACAGAGACTAATTATGCGGGAATATGAAATTTTGTTTTATTGTAACTAAAATATATATAACCTAGACATAAATATAGATATGTACTATGGCAAAAAAAGCATTCTTGAGTTTTACTAGGCTATGCATGAGTCAAAATTAGGATATAGAAAAAGGAGAAAGTGATACAGATAGTACTCCTTTTAGTACAAACACTGAAAAATACAGAATAACTGTAGCTAACTTACTGTTTATTAAAAGGAGTATAAATTTACACATATATCCACACACACAACAGAAACAATTAAAATGACAAGAATCACATTTATAAAGAAATAGAAACAAACAAACAAATAAATAAAATTTTAAGCAAACTAAAATAGAATGAGGTCAGGTAGTGTCAAACATAAGAATATCAGTTTTTGAAAGACACCTGTTGCCAAACTTGTAGCGTTAAGTAAAATTTCTTTAGCCAAGATAAAAATATGCCAGACAACCTATCAATTGTTTCAGTCCACACTGACTAATTGTAATAAAGCATGATGACAGACAGAAATAGTCAGTGAAGCTAAATATGACCAAGCCCATCACTAGCCATCAAGACTTTCCTTCCATGATGATTACATCACTACAGAGCGAGTCTCCTCACACCCACTAAACACTAAACATTGCCATCAACATTCTAAGACACTTGCAAGGAAAGGTATTAACAGGTCCTGACACATTATCTCACTGTGGCTATTTCTCCATTGCAGGGTGTTACAGATGATAATTTAGCCTGACCAAGTTGCTGGGTATCTAGATGTTATGTTCTCAGTAACACTTCTCCAAATCCAAATGTAAACATTAAGCTAAGAGCTTTAGGACGTCTTCAGAAGTGCCATTCAAAGTGCTCTGTTGACAAGCAATATTTCTCATAACAGGAACAGTTCCTGGGGCTTCTGTGTATGGCAGTGGGGGTACAGGAGGGAAGTCTCAAGAAACCCAAAGTTGCCCTTGTTTCTAAAATCACTGATCTTTTATAGAAACTAATTTCAAACTCACTGAAATATTCATGTGCAGATGAAATACTACTGTACAAAAGGAGGTGAGTTTCATATTCTGAATTTGAGGAACAAAGGAAGAATTAGAGGAAAACTAGGTTAAAATACTAGCTGGCCAAAAACTGTCTAAAACTTATTTTCATTCCAGTGTAGTTAAAACACAAGGTTACACAGCTTCAGGTGTACATTACAGGGGTTCAACGGCTCCACATATTATAGTGCTCATCATGGTAAGTGTACTCTTAATCCCCTTCCTCTGTTTCACCTATCCCCCACCCACCTTCCCTTTGGTGACCATCAGTTTGTTCTCTATAGTTAAGAGGCTGTTTTTTGGTTTGTCCCGTTTTTTTCTCTTTGTTCATTTGTTTTGTTTCCTAAATTCCACACAGGAGTGAAATGATATGGTATTTGTCTTTCTCTGACTGGCTTATTTCACTTGGCATTATATTCTCTAGTTCCACCCATGTTTTTGCAAATGGCAAGATTTCATTCTTTTTTACGGTTGAATAGTATTCCAGTGTTTGTGTGTGTGTGTGTGTGTGTGCACACGCACACATCTTTTTTATCCATTCATCTATTGATGGGCACTTGGGTTGCTTCCCTAATTTGGCTATTGTAAATAATGCTGCAATAAACATTGCTGCATCTATCCCTTTGAATCAGTGTTTTTGTATTCTTAGGGTACATACCCAGTAGTGCAAATACTGGATCACAGGGTAGTTCTATTTTTAACTTTTTGAGGAACCTCCATACTGTTTTCCAGAGTGGCTGCACCAGCTTGCATTCCCACCAACTGTGCACGAGGGTTCCTTTTTCTCTGAATCCTTGCCAACGCTTGTTGTTTAGCTGGCCATAAATTTAAACTAAATCCTAATAATTTTCTCTAGAAAACCAAAAAATTGTCACTTAAGTTCAGGATTAGAATTTTAAATGGGAATCAGACCATGATTTTTCCATGGGTAGAAATTCCTCATGACTAGATTTGCTGGAAGGAGTGAAAAGCTCCATGAACACCAAAAGAGGTTTGAAAAATCTAAGATAAAAGTTCAATCAAAGCATCTCAATTCATGTCTGGAGAAGTTTTGGGGATTTTTTTAAGACCATTTTTTTTCCTTTTCTGAAAAATGCTCAAAATGCATCTCTATGCATTCAGAATTAAGGTTGGATAAATTGAAAGAAAAAAGTAATCCTTTTTTATAGAATCATTCTTTACATTAATTAAGCTTTGCTTCCTCTTTAGTTCTTCATTAAAAACTTAAGAAAAACACATTTTTACTTCAAAATGAATTGTAGTGACTGAGAATTGCCTAGAATTCCCTAGAATAAAAACTATTGTGTGAGTCTCTTTATTCTTTCTCAGGGAAGGCTACTGAAAGATTTCTAAGCCTGTGTTCCTACAATTCCAATGAACTGGATTCAGTATACAACGTGCCAAATCAACAACTGAAAATTTCATCTTAGGATCAACTAAAAACAGGTTATTTTTGCCAGAGTTTTCTCCTTGGTATCTGTCACTCTGACTACTATTATTCTAAATATCACCTCTCTCCCCATACACTTACAGATACTCAAATACAGCAGTATTATTCTAGACATGTGCAAGAATTTTTTTTCCATCCTGAGAGAGAAGGAGACTCCTAAGCTGGGAGTGGTGGGAGAACAGTAGGACAGAAGAAAAACTTAAGATTCTCAATACATTTCCAGCTAATTTAATTACAAGAGACTGGAATGATCCAGGCTGAACCTATTTTACTCTAAATCATTATCTTCAGTAAAGCAACTGTTTCATTTTGTCTTGCCGTTCTTTTGGAATACAGGCCTCTCGGGTACAAGATAGCTGGATGATTTGGCATACTTGATACCCCTAAGTCAACTGAAATCAGCAATATCTTGATGATTTTATAACTCTTTATTCATGTGGAAGCAACAGCTTTTCAGAACAATCTTTGAACAGTTATTTTGTTTGATAGCATTAGTTTCCTTAAAACACAGGGGAAGATACATACATATGTTCCAGAGTCCAACATAGCTTATGAATGTCCAAATCTATCCCACAGAGCCATGGTGAGAACTGAGTTAATACACGTCAAGTGCTTAGAATAGTGTCTGGCACACAGCAAGCCCTCAATAAATGTTAGTTATGATGACTCTACCACGTCCCACTTTGACTTGGTTTATGTGCCTTGAGAAGCACAGGAGAATAAGTGAGAGATAAAACAGAAAAGACGCCCCCTTTGATGCTCATGTACCATAACCACCCAAGTCCATCTCTCAGGGAAGAGGGGCCTAGACCCAGCCAGCTGGGTTCCTTATATAAAACCAACTCCAAGGGTGCCAAGCATAGAAGAATGATCAGGATTTTCTCAGGAAAATCCAAAAAGCCAGTCCGGTAAGTCAATTATTACTAATCCTTAGCAGGTCTGAAGGATTGCTGTGAGTTAAAATTTGGATTCGGAGGAGAACTCCCACTCGCATCAAAAGAAAAGCAGATCAGTTAGAAACCGGGGACACACGATAGAAGATTAATGGGATCAGACTGACCAAGGAGTCAATTCTAAGACACCTCGGGCAGACAAGACATCTCCAGCAGCAACACCAGCAGGGCAACAACTTGGGAGAATCAACCCTTCTAGTCTTATGAGGCACGAGGGGGGCTTCACACTCCCTTCTGATGCATGTGTGGTTTCTTCAGCCAAGCCTACAGGACTCCTCTAGGAGTCTACTCTGCTGGTTTGCAATTCTAAAGAGTGCTGGCTTTGAGCCAGCGGTGGTGTCTAAATGAGGAGTGTTGGATTTGAATGTTTTGCGCACATTTTTAAAATGTGAAAGAAAAAGAACCCAGAATTTATTTCAAGTATAAAATGGAATAAACTCCCAATGTAAACTATTTACATTCTCTCTGAGACTTTAGGAACGGGCTTCAGAATGCTTTCTAGTAAAGAAGGATCTTTTTTAAAAATTACAGTTGAAGTAAACAGGAGGTAAGCACTTTGGAATCTCTGCCCTATCCTCAGTGGTTTGGTAACATACCAAGATCTGTTCAAAGCCTCATTGGTACCCTCTGTCCACAGGCGAAGTGTAGAAGAGAAGAACTGCCTCCACAGAGAATTTCAGCTCTGTTTACAGGACTGGCAGGAAACCATGCAAATAGATTTGCTAGGGCTCCTATCCTCTCTAGGATGTAAAATTCAGCTATGCCTCCATTCACGTTTTAATTGATCTTTATGCTATAGAATTCAAGTCCCTTCTTTCCATAATGGAAGGTCAGTGTATAATATTTAGAAAGGAAAGAAGAGTAAAAGAAAAAGAAAACTGATTCGAAGGGGTCAACATATGTCCTGGAAGTAGGTATATCTTTCTATTCGAAGCCAAAGTTCTTTCAAGTGAATGGCCCAGAACCTGAGCCTTGAAGTAACGTGGCCAGTCATATGGCTGAGCTTGCAAGACCACGCATCCAGGTTGAGGGCTGGCACTGTATGACAGGGCCCAAATAAGGTAAATTTTGGAATAACTGGAGTACAGACAATAGGACATAAAAATAGTAAGGTATTATCATATATTAGATGTTATTTTTGTTTTTTCATAATTTCAACTGCATCATTTTAAATAGCATGTGCTGATTAATGCAAATAAAGTGTTATATTTTCAAGCCCCCTGACTTTGTAACCCATAGGCTTCTGCACAGCCTTGTCCTTGTACAATCTTCAACCACAGTTCAACCACAAGATGACAAACACAATGGCTTCAAGTCTCCTGTGTTTTCTGAAAGGATCTAATATTTTTTGTACAGTGTTAGACTTAACCATTCTGACTTCATCTTACCAAGAGGACCATTTCACTAAACACTGCAAAGAAAATGTTAGTCTTCATTTCTATATTGTTCAAAACATCTGAAAGTATGCAGTAAATGCTTGTTCAATGAGTGAATACACGAGTATGGGACTTACTCCAGCTATTACATTGAGATAACCAAAGCAATAAATCACACAAACATCATTCTATTTCATTTCTGCAAGCTGATTGTATGTACGTAAACCACATATCAAATATTCTTAACTGAGTCACAATAACATTCAGTCTATAACTGCACAAACATATTTGACATTGGAATGCCAGAATATTTAATGAAGAATATTCAACTCGAGAAAAAAACTGCTCGTTTTACATATCACATGTGTTTAACAAAATTTTCCTGTGTGTAGTCAAGGAAACAATCTATATCACTCAGGTGATTCTGGTCACCAATTCTGACCTGTGTGTGTGCGTGCATGTGCATGTACACACACGTGTGCAGGGTTGGGGGGTTCCCCACACTACCAACTCAATTCTGACACTATTTACCTACAGATAGCATTGGATCCCACAGACAGAGGTCTCAGTCCTATAAGACTGTCAATCCTTCCTCCTCCCGACTCCAGAGCCAGTCACAAGTCCAGGTTGTCACCTGTGCTTTATAGATTGGAGGTTCCAAACCCCACCCTTTGGGTTTGATTAATTTGCTAGAGCAGTAAGTTCACAGAACTCCAAGAAACATTTCGCTTACTAGATTACTGGTTTATTATAAAAAGATGTAACTCAGGAAGGAACAGCCAGATGGAAGAGGTGCATAAGGCAAAGTATGTGGGAAAGGGCACGGTGCTTCCACGCTCTCTCGGGGTGTACCATTCTCCTTGCATCTCCTGCTCAATTACATAGACATGACTGATTAAATCACTGGCCACACTGGTGATGGAGTTCAATCTCCATACCCTCTCCTCTCCCAGGAGGTCATGAGGGGAGAGGAGTGGAGGTTATGGGAATGAAAGTTCCAACCCTCTAATCGCATGGTTGACACCCTGGCAACCATCCCCATCCTTAGGTGCTTTCCAAAAGTCACCTCATTAACACAACAAAAGACACCTTTATGGCTGTCTTCGCTTAGGAAATTCCAAAGGTTTTTGGAGCCCTGTGCCAGAAACCAGAATCAAAACCAAATACATATTTAGTCAATATCACAATCATATAATCAAGCATTAACATCAATCACAAGTTGAAAAAACAAAATATGAATACCTTACCTGAACATCTTTGTATTTGTCTCGTAAGTCCAAGAGTCTGTGATAGGCTTTAATGGCTTCTGAAAATTCCCCAACATCAGTGCTAGTGAGAATGTAGTTTTCCCAGATCTGCCAGTGTTCATAGTTGCACTTGAGGGCTTCTTGTAAAGTTCTAAAAGCTTTTACTCTATTGAAGGTCAGATTTTAAAGAGAATAATAATGAATAATCATAGCTAAAGAAACCATAGCTTCAGGTATAAAATGCTAATGTGAACTTCCTGTCAGTCCTTAGTCATTCATGTTAATAAATAGAATCTGAGACCCAAACAACCCCAGATCACTTCAAATCTCCCTACAAAATTTTTTAAAATTTAAAAGGAGCTTATATGAGACTGATGAATCACTGAACTCTACCTCTGAAACTTATAATACACTGTAAGTTAATTAATTGAACTTAAATTAAAAATAAATAAATAAATAAAATAAAAATTTTAAAGGAGCAAGAAATTGCACAACAAAAACAGGTAGAAATGAAACAAGGACAGGGAGATGTAAATAAAAAACCAACTGGAAATTTTGGAATTAAAAGAGACACTTAAACAAACAAACAAACAAAACCTCAATAGGTGACAAAAAACTAGACTGCACACAAGGAGAGAACTGATTAACTAGAAAGCAATAGTGAGGAATCCACAAGGAATTCAGATTAAAAAATAAAAGAGCAATAAAGAGAGGAAAGTATGAGAGGTAAGGCTCAAACATACATTTGATAGACATGCCACAGTAAACAGATGCAGAAAATGTCAGGACAAGGTATTTGAAAAGATAAAGCTGAGCATTTCCCACAACTGACAACAAAGATCTAATTCTATGATCAAAAGTATATTTTTGTACCAAACATTATAAGTAAAGATAAACCAACCACCTAGGTATATTGTATGAAATTGCAAAACATAAAGATAATCCTAAAACCTACAAAAGAATGACAATGAGAACAGCAGATATTTCATTAGGAACAAAAGATGTAGAAGACAACAGAATAGTACGTGTAAAGCACTGCATGAAAATAACTGTCATGCCTAAAATATTATAACCAGCTAAACTTACCATTCAAGAGTAAATGCAAAGTCAAACACTTTGAGATGTACAAAGACTAAGAAAGTTTATCATCTACTGGCCCAAACAAAAGAACTACTGAGAGACCCTCTCTTGCAAAAATAAAAGGGAATTCAGACAGAAAGAAAGGGATACAATAAATGATCAACAGTGAGAACAGAAATTGATGAAATACGTCATTACATTTAACTAATTATTGAGAACAAAAATTACCAGTCGTTTGTGTAAAAAAAGTATAACAGACATATTCTCTGAAATTAATTAAGAAATCAACAGTAAATAGCTAAAAAATCATATGCCTGGAAACTTAAAGATGCACTCCTAAAAAAAAAAAAAGAAAAAAGAAACCATAGTGAGGGAACAAGGAGACTCATATTAGAAAATAAAAAATATTTAGAACTTAATGAAAATACTATATATCGCCATCTGCAGGATATAGCTGAAGCAGTATTTTTAGAGGGAAATTTGTGATCTTAAATGCACTTATTACAAAAAAATGACAATCAGTGAAAACATTTAACTTAACATTGTAGAAAAACACCAAATAAACAAGAAAGAAGAAACTAATAAATATAAAGAAAGACTAAATGATTAACAAAACCAAAAGCTAGCTTTTTGAAAAAAAAATGAAACGGACAAATGTGTAACTAAATTCCATTTAGAATAAAAGAAAATGGCACAAATAAGACTAGTAATTTTTTGGAAAAAAAATCATAAGAGAATGCTATGAATAAATTATACAAATGACCTAAAGAAATAGCCAAATAAATCAATTAAAATTAAAACAAAGCTAGGCAGTTTTACACAAAAGGTATACCAAACCATCAAGGAATCTTTGTCTTATACAAGCCACTTCAGAAAAGAGAAAAAGACTACTAAAATTTGATACTGACAAGGAAATCAACAGAACTTCATGTCACCTTTTCTATAAGTTAAAAATCTCAGCAAACAAAAAGATGCTTAATGCTTTCCTCCCCTGTCTGGATAAGACTATAGTTCCTTTATGGATCATAAATATTTTACTGGACAATTACAGTAACCTTCTTCAAGTGTATGCTATCAATCTCCTTTTCCAAAACCATTTTGAGTTTGTTAATTTACGACTACAAGGTCTACCTCCGTTTCCTTGCCGAGCCCCACCATGTTACAGCAAGGCATCTCCTCCTCCATGACTTAAGGCAAATTTTGGAGGGGATAATGGAGATTCTTCTGGTCATCCCAGGCCGTTGTTCTGAGAATTACTCCCTGAAGGATTTAATCAATTTCTAATATACCTATGGTACCAATCACAATAACGTCCTTATAATGAAGTCCTTTTTGTCTTCTCATTAGCAGCCAATTCACTGCAGTTTAATTTTTTATTCTCTACATTAAACAATTTGCCTAAAGTTGTTATGGAACGTACTGATTCACTTATCCCTTGCTTTTAGAGTTAAAAATGAAGGTACCCTTGCTGTAACCCTTCCTTCTTCAAATTCAGCCTTAAATTGTTTTGGGAGTGTGTGTGTGTGTGTGTGTGTGTGTGGTGTCTTTTTCCCTTTCTTGGTTCCACTCCCTACGCCCACCTCCCACATAATAGCGACTGCCTTCAGCAGTGGTAGACTGAGACTGCAGTTCTCCCACCTTCATGGGGGTGGGTGAGGTCGGCCTGCTGGAAAAGAACTTGACAGGCAGCAACCCAGGCAAGAGGATTATCCTCTGTCCTACATATCCTCTCATCCTTTGCCCACAATCTCCTGGCGTCAAAGTTTTTTCTATGAATTCCTTTTTCGTAAGTGTGGCTTCTTCATAAGGATCTTCAGTTCAGGATTCACTTATCGAGCCCACAATGGTCGTGACACTGCTATGAAAGTTTCAGAGAAAGATGGGAGATTTTCCCAAAGGACTAGCAGGGGTGTGATGCCTGGGGAATCAGATGAAACAGCAAAGAAGGTATGTTAGTGAAGAACCCCAGGAGAGCAAAGGGACAGACGAGATGGTTTAAAGGGTACCTTTTAGGCATGGGTTCTTTTGAGAGGAGCGGTCATAATTTACACCTGAAGTAACAATCTCATGAGTCAAAAATGAGCTATGACTGGAACAGCAGCAAAGAAAGGAAAGAGCAAAAGGGCAAGAATAAAGCAGCGATTCACCTTTGACCTTACAACCCCACTTTTTTTACACAAAAACCAATTGTGGAGTTGCAGGAAGACAAGAAAGCGCCAAATAGAAGTTGAACAATGTGCAGGACCCCTACGAGAGAAAGTGGAATTCTTAGGGTTAATGGGCTGGAAAACGAGGTAGAGTATCAAGAGCTTCACTACATACAAAATTATCAGGGTTACCAGAAAAACCCACTGAGATCACTCTACAACTATGACAGGGATTTCCCCTGCCCCTTGCTTTAAACCAAAAGGTCCCTAGGGAATTTTAACACAATCAGTTGCAATCAAGAACATAATATTATTTTCCAAAGCACACAGTAGAAAAAACAGTACTTTCTTTATGTAGTTTGTCATCCAAGAGCAGCAGAAGTATCTCAATGTAATGTGGATTTAATGATATCTTCAGAAGTATCTTGTGAATCCACAAAGAAAAATTAAATTAGGCTTGAAAATAAGGCCAAATGAAAATGGAAACAGATTCATCCTTTCCTTCATTTGCTAAAACTCTGGCAATAGCAATCCTTGTCTCTTCCCCTTCCTTTCCTTGGCTTTCTATGGCCAGTCAATAAGGCCAGTTGGTTGTCCCCTTTATAAATTGGCATGTGCCCTTTTTTTTCCAGGCTAGTTATCTCCTGCCTGGACTGTTACAACAGCTGTCTCCTGACTGGGTTCCCAGCCCCCAGTTTCCTCTCCAGTCTGTCTCACACTGCCACCAGATAAATATTCCCCAAAAGCTTCTTTCTTCATGAAATTGCCCCCACTGAAAGCGCAGGCATCTCACTGCCAACAGGATAGTCTCAACTTGTTAGTCAGATCATCAGAACACACTGCAATTTGACTCCAACCTTCTCTCTTCCTACAGACCTCACTATAATCTATAGCTGGTGCAGTTTACTTGCTCTGCATATGATCACATTCCCCTCGCTAGAGAGGCCTTCCTCTGTCCCCTCTACCCATTCTTCCAATTTCAGCTTGTGTCCAGCATTCTGTCAGAAGCACTGGGTGTTATATGCAAACAATGAATCATGGAACACTACATCAAAAACTAATGATGTAATGTATGGTGATTAACATAACATAATAAAAAAAAAAAAGAAGAAGCATTCCTGAATCAGGACCATGATCCTTCTCTCTTCTGAGACCCACACAGAGTGTCTGGCACAGAATGAGTGTTCTACAAATATCACCTACTGTTATTATAGCTCTCCTTGGATTTCCCACTTGATATTTACTACATACTACTTCTAATGCTGATCAATTTTTAAAATAATACAGCCTGATATTTTATTTTTTAAATCTACAATTCCTGAAGACATTGGTTTATATTTATATTTCTCAGTAATACTTTGTACACGGCAAGCAAGCAATCAGTAAGAATCTATCAACTGAGTTGACCAACTAAAGGCATGCATGCTCTCATTGTATAATGGAATTTAGGATGCAAAACTTCAGTATCAAATAAAGATTCCAAATAATAGTTCTTATTTTATTACACAGTAAATGTTTTCAAAAAATAAATTACATTTAGAATTCAAATGGCTATAGTAAGTCATCCTAACTCAAAGGTATGGATGGGCAAGGGGAAAAGGAGTAAAGGCACTAAGTTCAGTGGAAGAAAATCTTGTTCATTTTGGAAACTGAGTTCTTCATATTTGTTTGATGTACTTACTTTTGTTTTAATCGGATATAGGAAGTTGATAAGTTGTTCCAAGCTTCAGCATTCTGAAATGACAGAGAACTCAGTTATAGACTATTCTCATTTAGGTAAAATAATCGCTACAACCCAAAGTATAACATATTTTTCTAGTGCAGGAGGTGCTCCTTCCAATCACAATTTTCAATAAGGTATGTTCAAGGTATATGAGAAAATTAAATAAATTAAATTTAACTTTCATAATTTAAAACAAAAATAGTCAACAAACTGACATAACTATTATAGTACTAATTTGGAATTTAACTAAGATTTTATTCCCAAATTTAGATTTCCAAAGTAACTGGACAATCTGCAATACAATTTATACAATATATAGATTTATTACAAATCCAAGGTGATGCAGAATACTGTTTTTCATATCTTAAAAGCCTTTGCTATTTTACCATCATCCTTCATCAGACAGGAGAAGAAAGGAGTATGTGTTCTCCAGTGTTATTTCTACGTATTTCATCAATCAAACGTATTTCTCTACCTATTCCTCTATGCATGACAAAAATAAATTTAAGTCATTACATAAATGTTGATATGAATTATGTTTGTTCCTTTTTGTTCAGCTCTTTATAAAATAGAGAGTATACAGTTTTCAAGTTCATATGCACGTTTTAAAAAGTAAGTGGCAATGGACCTCTGCTTGCAGACATAGCACAGTTAGTATTAGACTAGGCTTATTACCATAAAAAGCTACAAACTGGACAAAATATAGGGAACTGTTTTTGAAAAGTCAGACAACAAACAGCATGGGGCTGTGACCCTTGAGAGAAGGTAAACTGAGATGTCTCAACAATCAACCTACACCTCCATCTAGAGGCACTTTCAGGGCTCAGCACAGAGAGGTAGAAACCAAATGAAGCACAGCAAGTCTTACTGGGATTAAGAAAGAGATGAGAGTTCAGGGCTCAAAAGTTGGCCAGAACTTGCAGGGCAAAAAAACAGGGAAGTGAGATCTGTGCAGAGAATAAGCTCCAGAAACCTCAATAAGCATCTCCTTGAGCCCTTGGCTGAATATTAAGCTATACATGTACAGGACAAAACTTCTTGAGGCCAGGCAGAGAACAACTACCAGAGAGCCGTGAGCTGAATGGAAATTCTGGAGGTCACACAATGCTAAGAGCTAGTCAAGTTCCAACCAACCAGAGTGGAGAACTCTTATTGTTCACAAATGGTATTAAGTGCAACTACCAAAAGCTTATACCTTAAAAGAAGGGTGATTACATCCCTAGAATAAGGACAATGCAGGACCCACCCTAACAAAGTTTAAAATAAAACTGATCCACGAGTAAATCAGCCAAATGCCAAAATAAAGCTCTATCTTCCTTAAGGGAAAACAAAACCCAGAAACTCAACAACACGGCATCCACGATGTGTAGGATACAATAAAAAAATATTGGTAGACATGCAAACGAACAAGAAAATTCATCCATAACCAAAGAAAAAATTAGTTAATAGAGACAGACACAGAAATGAAAGAGATGTTGGAACAAGATACAAGAACTTGAAAACAGTTGTTATAAATACAAACAAAGATATGAAGATAACATGAACATAATAAGGGAACAACTTGGGAATCTCAGTAGAAACATGAAAACTATAAAAAAGGACCAAATGAAAGTTTTTGAACTAAAGAAATTACATTATCTGAAATGATGTGTAGATTTTTTAAAGTGAGAAAGAATATTAGATTATTTTCAGGTGTACAACATAATGATTCAAAATATGTATATACTATGAAATGATCACCATAGTAAGTTTAGTCAACATCCGCCACCACATGTAGTGTGATGAGTTTAATGAATAGATTTAACAGCAGATTGGACATAAATGTAAGAGCTAAAACAATAAAACTCTTAGAAGAAAAGACAGGGGTAAATCTTCATGACCTTAAATCTGGCAATGGATTCTTAGATATGACACCAAAGACATGAGCAACAAAAGAAAAAACATGTAAGCTGGACCTCATCAAAACTAAAAAATGTGGTACTTCAAAGACACTTTCAAAAGTGAAAAACAATTTACAGAATGGGAGAAAAAATTTTCAAATCATATATCCATATGAGGACTTCTATCTAGGATGTATAAAGAAACTCCTACAACTCAACATAAAAGACAACTAAACCAATTTAAAAATGGGCAAAGGATGTCAATAAACATTTCTCCAAAGATGGGACACAAATGGCCAATAAGCACATGGAAAGATGCTCAACATCACTAGCCAACAGGGCAATGGAAAACGAAACCACCACAAGATGCCACCTCCTCGGATGACTCGAATCAACAAGAAAGGTAATAACAAGTGCTGGCAAAGATGTTGAGAAACTGGTAACCCCACACATTTGCTGGTGGGGATGTAAAATGGTGATTTAGAAAAACAGTCTGGCAGTTTCTCAGAATTTTGAACACAGAGCTACCATACCCAGTAACTGTACTAGTAGGTACATACCCAAGAGAAATAGAAATGTATGTCCACACAAAAACTTGTAAATGACTGTACACAGCAACCTAATTCATGATAGCCAAAAAGAAACAATCCAAATGTCCATCAACTGATGGACAAATAAGTAACGTGTGATACGCCCACATAAAATAATATTATTTGACCATAAAAAGGAACGAAGTACTGATACATGCAACAACATGGATGAACTGTGAAAACATTGATCTAAGTGAAACAAGCCACAAAAGACCACATAGCGTATGATTCCATTTATATGAAATGTCCAGAATAGGCAAATCTAGAGACAGAACATACATTAGTGGTTGCCTGGGGCAGGAGGTGGAGGGCGGGGAGTGGAAGGTGTTTGGAAGAAATGAGCAGTGACTGCTAATGAGTACAAGGGGGTTCTTTTTATGACAATAAAATGTTCTTAAAATTGATTGTGGTGATGGTTGCACAATTCTGAATATACTAAGAAATCACTGAATTGTACCCTTTAAATAGAGGAACTCTATGGGATGTGAATTATTTATCATCTCAGTAAAACTATTAAATATTAAAAGACTATAAATAAAAAGAACTTTTTAAGAAGGCAATTAGCATAGGCAGCATACGTTACTGAATGACAAAACAGATGACATTTTGCTATGTACTTCAGTTAAGTATAATTTTAACTAAAAAACTGTTGTATCAAAATTATTTCCATGAATAACTTAGCTATTATAAGAAGAAACTTCTTTCTAGATTTATAAATCATTTACCTTAAGGTGTGACCTTCTGTCAAAGGTATACTTTCTTCCAACGCAAAAGGAACTGCTGTTCTTTTATTTTAACATAAAATAATAGAAAATTGGAATTTTTTGCCTTTTATCTGTTTTGTTTTGTTTTTGAGAGAAGAATACTTAACATGAGATCTAGCCTCTCTACAAATTTTTAACACAACACAGTACTGTTAACCACAGGCTCCATGTTGTACAGCAAATCTCTAGAACTTACTCATCTTGTATAACTGAAACTCTATACCCACAGGAATTGCTATTCTGAACTACAGTACAATCCAAGTAACTTAGAGAATATCAAAGAGCTGTGAGAAGGAAAGCAGACCAAACAAACTCACGTCGGGTTCTAGAGTCACACAACGCTGAAATGCCTTCGCAGAACCTCCGTAGTCTTCCAAGGCCAAATAGGCACAGCCAAGAGAAAACCACACCCCCAGCTGCAAAGACAAAAGGTCAAAGTCATTCAAACACATAGAGACAACAAACACATAGAGACAACTATAGGATATTTATTTTACACTTTACATTCGTTTCCATGTAGGAAATTGAGTGGTAGAGACGAATTTTTTCATATAACTTTCAAAGCTAATACAACACCAAAAGCATGTGCGGTATCCCTGCCCATCTTCTGCCGAGAAAGACCATTCTTTGTGTTAGCCAAATACCATGAATGCTATCCAGAGCTATGACTGTGGGATTAATCTAACCTTCTGACTGAGCATCAACTATGTCAAAGTATGCAAAGTATCAGCAAAATCACAACTGATAAATGTATGACAAATTTGAGAAGAAGAAAAACTCTCGCTTTCATCTTTAAGTTAGACCACAAACAATTCTTCAGTTTAACCATGAGCAACTCTGGTTAGGCATGCCTGAAAATAATTTGGAGAAAGCAGGCTGAGAATCTGGATTACCAAATAGCCGTTCAAAATGAAAAGCCTGATTTGAGTCAGTAAGATGTGTTAGCAGGGAGATTTAGAAAAAAACAAACAGGTGAATTAGGAAGTAGCTATTGAAATTACAACAGAATTCTTCATATCACAGTGTTTCCTTAAAATTCAATAGCCTCTATCAAAAGGAAGATAAAGCTGATAAAAATTCAATGAAATCAGTCAGAAAACCAGCTGTTGGGAGTCAAGTTTGCTTTCCTTTCTGATACACTTAGTAAGGGCAAGAGAATGCAGCTGACTTGCTCCCTGACTCCCAGGACAAAGGCAGAGAGCCGGAGGACAGGTTCGGTGGCACCCTTCAGGGTGGGAAAGGAAGTGAGGTGCTCTGTTATCTGTCCGGATCCTTCCGCAGAGGCAGCGCAGGAAGCGGCCCAGGCACCCTCCTCCCCCAGCCATTTCCACAAAACTTGATCCATATGGCTAGTTGAGGCCTGAATGGTTTTTAAGCAGATAAAGATTTTTAGCCGATAATTAGAGATAAGGCTTAGAAAGCAAACATCCTTGGGCAATTTAACACTTTGCCTTGAATTCACAAGAGGCTATAAATAACTGCTATCAGGAGCCTTTATGGAGAACAGATTTTGTTCGAGGGGTAGGTACCTGCTGAAAAGGGGCTGGGTGTGTGTTTGGGGGGAGAGGGGAGATGCTAGAGATAATCAGGTTGAAGCAAAGTTAGAAGTTCACTTTTTTGAATCAAGGGACTACCAGCAACTGAATAATGACCTCATTACATCTTCCTTCTGTCAATTATTTACAGAATCGAGAGACCAAACCACACTCACTGATGATACATTCTGAGCTGCCCTAAAGTCTGATGCTAACCTATAAACGATATATAAAACAAGTTCTCTTTTTTTTTTTTGAAGATTTTATTTATTCGACAGAGAGAGACACACTGAGAGAGGGAACCCAAGCAGGGGGAGTGGGAGAGGGAGAAGCAGGCTTCCCGCGGAGCAGGAAGCCCGATGTAGGGCTCGATCCCAGGACCCTGGGATCATGACCTGAGCGGAAGGCAGACGCTTAAAGACTGAGCCACCCAGGCGACCCAAGTTCTCTAACTTCTAACCAAGGTGCAAGTTTCAACATCTGTGTGTCATATTTCCTCAGATACAAGGTACGCATTTTTTTTCACCATTTAACATCTCTGAAATAGATCTGACCGCTTGCCAGAGTTTATTGGAGGCATTTTTTTATACAAGGTGGCACTTAAAATAAATGTGCCTGTTACAACTGATGGCATCTTATATCCAATGAACTGTGATCACACGTTTACTTAGAAGGAGGGATACCTCATCCTGGGACTAAAGCAAGAACAATGACAACTGCCCTCAGAGTTCTTAAAATGCATGTGTTGTGCTTACTCTCTGCAAACCAACTTCCCACAAAACTATTTCACATGTGTTGTTATTAAAAAAAAGAAAAAGCAAGTGTAAATTCAAGATGTAAATAGCGAGCATTATTTTTCAATCCACCTGTAAAGACAAAGGTTACAAATGTCTAAAATTAGCAATTACTCATAGCTCTAAAACAAGCAGGTGATGAGATTACTATTTACCTTTAAGGTTTTGAAACAAGTCAATGTTTTGTAACCAGTGTCTTAAAACGAAAATAAATTTAATGAAAATCAGGCAGATGACTTAATTTGATATATAGTATTATGGTTCTCTCTCTCTTTTTTTTACTCTTGGTCATTTGTGTTGTTGTTTTAATAATTTGCATCTGAAGGAAAATTCTAGGAACGTTAACTGCTAGTAGATTCCATCTGTTGATAAGATTTAATTACATAGGAGATGACTTTTGCACACACCCTACTCTTTGAAATCATGAAATGGCTTTTTATTTATTTATTTATTTAAAGATTTTATTTATTTATTTGACAGAGAGAGACAC